AACAGCTCGAGGCATACACTTCACTGCGATGGGTCACTCAGCGGCGCGACCGCTTTCTGTGGATGATGTCCAATTGAAACTCCACAAACGGCTCGAATTGCTACCAGAAGAGGCCCTATACCTCGTTGAAAGAGGAGGGATGTTCTGCTGGAAGCAGACCCGCGCCGAAATTTCCGCAATGGAAGACGTCGAGGGTGCACCTATGACTGTCCAGCAAGCCTTTACGGAGATGATTGGCAAGGAGGACCTTACCCTGGAAAAGTATCAGGTGTTTGCGTATCTGCGCAGGCTGGGTTACGTCGTCACTCGCGCCGAACCGCCCACTGAAAGTTATCCAATACCTCCCCCATTTGTTGCCCGGAAGGCCCCGCGGACAGTTTTCCAACAACTTACTTGTCTATTGTGGTGCTCTGTATCGAAGGTATCTCAGCTTTGGGGAGCCGCTTTTGATTGGTGGAGGCCCCTCCGACTTCACAGATGGTTTCATCGCGGCATAACGCACAGTACGAGGGCCGAGGTGTTTTTCCCAATTACGATCTTGTTGACGTCTTCGTGTAGCCGCCATCTTCAAGTCGCTGCGCTTCGTTCCCTCAGGTCACTCTATTACACTCCGGCCTTCTAACCCACGACCAAAAACGCCACCCTCCCCATACAAGATTTTCTATAACCTCTATAAGCCGTCAACTCCTTTCAGAAAAACTGCGCCGCCACCACCTGACTTCTCTATCGTCGTTGTGGAGTATGTATACCTCGAGCGTCTTCGTCAGTCACATGCTTACTTTGCACCATCAGCGCACGCACCACTGCAATCCCATCTCTGCACGAGCTGACAAGCCTTTTCGGCGTTCTCCCTGAATTGCCTCCGCCGCTACCTCGCAAACGTGCTCCTCCACCGCAGGCATCTGTAAATCCGCCAAAAACAACGAGAGATTCAACTGTCTTGAAAACTCAAGCACCCCTTCTTCAGAGGTTGTTTCCTTGGTTGTTGCCCAAACCCACAGCCCCTTCACCACAAAAGCCAAATCCCTTTGTCGCTTTGAAAGCTGGTAAAAAGAGCGTTGTCATCGCCGCTGTTGATGCAGGGAGCATTAGTTTCTTCCGGTTCAGCCAAGGCGCCTTCGAAGAATGGCCCATGCTCTGACATGGCTGTTCTCTCCACTAACTTATGTATAAACTTGCGTTCGGTTTTCGTCACTTCACCAAACCGAAGCTGTATTCCCACAAAGGTTCAAGCGATATATATACAGATGGGAGAAAGGCGTTGACCCCAGTTCTTGGGGCTTGATCACCCGCTCCATACGGCCTATGACATATCCATCAGATCCAACCTCGGTGCAGTTCTCGAAGGTACAACTCACAGGTCCTGGCTGGGTATAATTAGCGGGCTACAGAACACCATTCAGCGTTCATCTTGGTTACTTCGCAATCGGAGAAGAAACAACTTACGATGGGGTAGTATATGTCTATCGCGGATGGCAAGGATCAGACAACCAATTCTTCCGCGTGGATTGTGAGGACTTACCGATAAGGATGCCAGGCTCGTAACCAGTGTAGACTCCTGGAATGGCAACTAAAGGTCCTGGCGTCCCACTTCCACCACCTTGCACGTTGACCTGGGCACAGGAGATATAGAATTGAGCACCGCCAAAAGTGGACGCGACCTGCATTCGGCATTGTCGGTCAGCAAAGTCATTCTCCGGGGCATGCGCAGACAAACGCACATGGAGAGCAATATCCTCTGCGCGGATGAAGTATTGGCCATCAGGAATATCTGAGGGAAGTGTGAAGGTAACCTGGGTCATGCCTACAGGGTGTTGTCAATCTGGTAGCCAGCTCGAAGGTATATTGGTTCTTGCTCACCGATAGAGGGCCAGGTGATTGAGGTGCCACCATCGGTGACTGCAGTGACCTCGTGGACCTTGAACCAGACAGAGCCGGAGCCGTCCCAGTCTGAGATATTGGTGCCCGACGGAGCCTTGGCCATGTAAACTAGTGAGTACATCAGTGGTGCAATGACGGGCACCCCTTCCACACGTACTGTTGACCACGCCTTGATGATAGATAGCAATGTCCAGAGCGAGGCCGACCTGCCATCACCGTGAAGCATAAGGCCGACGCGATGGCCAGATAACTAGCAAATACGTACGGTTGAACCCGCTGTAACGGTGTCCGTTGATGTCACGGAGCCGGAGGCGAGCCCGCCAACATTGCATCGTAAATCGGTTGAAGTAACATCGGTTACCTTAGGCAAATTGAATTGGTAATTTACGAACGAATAAATACAACATACCGGTGAGTTGTCGTTGGTATTCACGCGGACATACTCATAGGCGGTGGTAGTTACTCCATTTGCGACGAGGGAAGTCCAGCGATCTGAAAGTCAAGTGGTGAATGGTACGTCATATTGAAGTTGTACAGTGCGACTGACAGTGAGCTGAGACAGCAGGCAGAAGTGCCGAGGCGATCGCTAAGAGGGAGACAGTTTTCATTCCGGTTAACAGGATGCTGAGCCAAGAAAACGCCAAGTGGGCCTCTATATACCCTCCGCAATAACTTATTTTCCCTGCGGGGATGATGCTGGATGGTACACCCGCTGGCATAGCTCGGGGGCATCACGGTCTCGTGCCGCTATGCCAGCATAGCAACTTCCAGTCAAAAATAAGTTAGACATCCTCACTGAGCAGTCAACGAGCAGGCGTACCACACATCGGCGTTAACTTCGGAAACAAACACTGTCTGTCGAGCGTGCCTCATAGCCTTGAGCCCGGTCGGATGTACCCCGGTTGCTGGGCACGGAAAAATGCCTGTCACAACTACCCAGAATTATCTCCGACATCTTCACTGCTGACTAGCGCGCATATTGCATCATCCTCTTGTTATTGTGATACATTTTTCTGTTCGCGACTCCACTCCAGGTATTGCAACCTTCGCAAGACAGCATGTTACGTGTTGGAGAAACTGGGTAGCCATATTGGCGTGCAACGCCAAACATTCAAGACATCAGATGCACCATAGTGAATCTGGTGGGCTCACGAGTAACTTCGGCGATCAGCCAGGTCCCATTTTGGAAGGTGCTGTATTGAGGGAAGGTTTTCCAATGCGCTGTTTTCTCGGTGTGGATAAAACTTTGCGGGGGCTTCTTGATCATTACCTGCGGACGCGCGGCTTTTCCTAGCCTTCGTCCCTACTGTCTATCGTCGTTAAGCCGTGATTCAAGCGCATATCGCAGCTGATGGTCTTGTTTCCAATGTAAAATACCGAAATTGATTGCATTCCTTCGAGACAATACCGTACGGATACAGAGGAATTGGGCGTATCCCACGAACCATTCAGCCGCTCCAAACAGCCTGAGGGCAAACCGACAAGGTCAGTTCATTACCGGCGATCACGACAGGACTACCACTTACAGGTCCAGGCTGAGTGTAGTTGGCGGGCTACGTACAGGGAGGTCACTGAGGGTCACTGGGATGAGGCAGCAAAAATGACGTACGATCGGGTAGTTAATGTCTGCAGCATCATTAATCCGTCAGTGGTGGCCATCCCCCTCGTGAAGTAGCAAATCGTACTAATTAAAATTCCAGGTTCTTGGCCAGTGTAGACGCCAGGGATGGCGACCAATGGTCCTGGGGTTCCGTTCCCGCCGCCGGTCACATTTATTTGGCCGCAGGAGATGTAGAACTGTGCACCTCCGAAGCTTTGAGCGACCTGTAATGGGTTGAAGTCAGATGTGTCCCCATACAACAATATGAGGCACAAACGTGGAGAGCGATATCCTCTGCGCGAACAAAGTACTGTCCATCTGGGATGGACTCCGGGAGAGTAAATGTCACTTGAGTCATGCCTGCAGAGAGGTCAATTTGAGGTTAATTTGTGTCAACCGAAATAACACCAATTTCGACGCACCCACAGAGGGCCACGAAATGGACTGCCCGCCGTTGGTTACGGCAGTCACCTCGTGAACTTTGAACCAAACGGTACCAGACCCGTCCCAGGAGGAGATGTCCGTGCCTGATGGAGCCTTGGCCATGTATACTATGAAGTGATGCGTTTTGAGCAGACGAAGCAAGAAACGAGAAAATAAAGCAAAATACTATTAACGACACCGGGATGATAGATGGCTTGATCGAGCGCGAGGCCCACCTAATGGATACGTGAATTTCTTTCCGAAGGTCAGTACACTAAGATTTTAATCACAGTCGAGCCTGCCGTGACAGTATCTGTTTGGGTAGCTGTTCCAGATGCAAGACCACCGACATTGCAACGGAGGTCTGTGGAGCTGACATCAGTCACCTGGATTACAGAGCGCAAGTACGTTATTTAAGCACTCCTGTTAGCGCTGGGCTCTCCACGAATATAGAAAACAGGGGCGCACAGGTGAGTTGTAGTTGGTATTTTGGCGCACATATTGATATTGGCCTGTGATGGAACCACCGGCGACGAGAGACGTCCACCGGTAATGGGCAGAGACAGAGGGCAGAACGGCTGTAGCCACAATCGCGAGGAGTGAAGATTTCATTCTGGTTGTTTGTGCTTCAACTACGAAGACAATGGATGCTTTTATACCCCAGAGCTTGGCCGTTTCACCGAGCGGCAAAATGCCCATGGTGGTTTATCGTGATTAGAAATATAGGACCGAGGTTTCGAGGTCATCTGAGGACAGCTGAGGACCATGTAGGAGAGTAATGACGGAAAAACAGAAGTGAGGCAGCTGCGATGGTGTTAATCTACACCGACCATCATTAATCCTATGTTAATCCTCGGATTGATTATGTTGGAATATTTCCGCGCCTTAGACGACGGAAAATTAACGATCACACTGGTATCTTGTTAGTTTGAGAGCGTCAGTGTAGACACGAACGGAGGCTCGAAAGAACAAATTAACCCACCTCGCACCGCCAATTAGCCTTGCTTAGATGACTGAACAGGTCAGATCATGCATCGTGCAAAACAAGAGCTGCAGCAACAGGTCGAGTAAAAACCACTGAACCAACCAAAACGAATGGACGTTCAGGGGATTGAACCCTGGACCTTATACATGGATGGATGCTCGGCTTGGCACCGAAACAATCTTGCAAAGCATACGCGCTACCACTGCGCTAAACGCCCATATAGGGGGTCAGCATCAGATATATATAATGGGCGAGCATCTGGCTAAACAGATGCCCTGAGCCCATGCTCGCAGCGCGGGTCACGTTACCGCCGAGTTTGGATGATTCGGCATGACGAGCAAGCGGGGTTCTACATTGAGAAAGTAACCCTAACCTAGCTGACCTATCCTTCTGCTCAGCGACTGCAAAACCATCCAAATCTCGAAGACCTCCGTGCTTCAGCTCTGATGAGTCTCTCTTCCCTGCTTCTTGGCCCCAAGGCCGCTGGAAAGCTCAAGGCTCTCGACACAGACTTGGACGCTCTTTTTGGCCCACAAGTATGCTTATACTCGGTCAATCGCAATCACACACTGATCACGATAGGTTCATGCAGCACCCGTTGCGAATGCTATCCTAGCATCCCCAAAAAGCGAAAAGAAACGGAAGCCGACCAAATCCTCCGATGAGCCATCAGGAAAGAGGACCAAAGTCGACTCAGACACAATGCCTGTGATATCAGAGTCTCCAGCCAAACTAAAAGCCAAAGTTCAGAAAGGCAGAGGAAGCCAGCTTATTGCGAAGGAGGATGATCCTGACGGCGAAAGGTCGGATGTATCAAAACCATCTGTTGCCGTCCTGAAAGATGCGGTAACGCAATCGGAAAGTGACACGGACGGCGACCCATCTTCGCTAGTTCACCAAAGTTTGCGCAAGGACGGATCGGTTCGCGGAAAGCGTTCATCTGGACACAAGGAAAAGTACATTCCCCACGGCGAAACCCCTGACCAGCGTAATGCTCGCACCATATTCATTGGAAATTTGTCTGCCGAGGTTGCTCAGAAACGGGTAGGGATTTCTTTGCCGGCGAAGAGGACCATACTTACATCATTCGGTTCCAGCCTCTGCAAAAACAATTGCAACGGCACATTCTCTCGCATGTTCCCAACGCGAAGATTGAATCCACGCGGTTCCGTTCTGTCGCTTTCCAGAATCCGACGAACAAACTTCCCAATGATGCAGATGTCCCGTCTGCCAAACCCAACACCCGCAAACATGATCTAGATCGCGCGTCGTCATGGCGCGACTCAAATCCCAAGGATGATGGCGGGAAAAGTGACGAAAAGAAATTCCTCACGCCGAGTCAAAAGAAAAAGATTGCATTTATCAACCAAGAATTTCACACTAGCGCAGATTCTGTTCATGCCTATGTTGTCTTTGCCCATCCACCTCCTAACGCATCTAGGCCTAAAAATCTCCCTCCTCTTCCTCCGACATTGGATCCGTTCGACGCGGCACACTTGGCAGTTGAGAAATGTAACGGAACCATATTCATGGAGCGCATGATCCGGGTAGACGCGGCTGGAAAAACACCACTCGCAACTGCACCGACGACCGTTGCACAACATGGTGCCGTTGGTGGAGATCCAAAGCTGACTGTCTTCGTGGGCAACCTTGATTTTGCTAGCAAGGAGGAAGACCTACGCGTCTTCTTTGAAGGCCTTGTGAGCGCCGAACGGGGTCCCCCAACCGCCGACTCGTCAGGCCACGACGACAAGCCGAAGTTTTGGGTAACTCGAGTAAGAATTGTTCGTGACAAGGACACGCAACTCGGAAAAGGGTTTGCATACGTGCAATTTGCAGTTCGTACTAATGCCTCTTTTGGGTAAACCGTTTACTAAGCCCTACCCATAGGACCGCGCTTGCGTGGACGAGATCTTGGCACTGGAGGAAAGCAAGGTCAAGTTCGCGAAACGCAAATTGCGAGTTCAGCGCTGCAAGACCCTTCCTGGGACCTCTGACGACAATAAAGCGGCGTCCTCATCCTCTAAGAGTCCGCGCACTATCCCAACCCCGACCATTTCGCAGCCAATGTCACTTCCCAAAGGGGACCCTGCGTTAGGCACAAAGTTAGCCCATCTTTCAAAAGAGGAACGAAAACAGGTCAAGTCCTCGGATGCCGATCGCCTCGCGAGGAGATTGGCGAAGAAGAAAGCAAGGATGGCCCTTGCTAAACAGGGGGTCGCAGTCCAGGGCAAGGATCGAGAACGAGTACGGAAAAGCACGTCAATAAAGAAGTCACAGGGACTACCGCGGAGGGAGAGCAAGGGGCGAGTTCGGAGCGAGAAGAGCGCGGCGAAGAGGAACCACAAAAAGTGATCGTATGTTGGGCTGTTCATATTTTGTTCCTGTGGCAGCTGTGTCCGGTCGAGTGAGCGAATTAGCTGATGTCAGGCGTTATCGCATTTTGCTGCAAGCACAGAAGTGATGTTGACGCGACAGAGGATATTTGCTTGGATCGAGCATTGTTGAGTTCAGCCCCTGATAGCGCACATCGTGGAACATCGTGGACGCAAAGCAACGTTGGAGGGTTTTTCGCGATCGCTGAGCGTGGAGTGCGTACTTACCCTGTGAGGCACTACCTCCCCCATCGCAGAAAGCCCTCCCCTCACGTAGCGATATACGTATTGATACCTTGCCTTGAGCAGGTCATACTGCGTGGAAACCCACCAACAACATCCAGCTGTCCGCACGCCGCAAGTCCCTTACCAATCGGCACCATTGGTATTCTACCGGCATCGAAAAAGACGCACTTTTGAGAGCAGCGTTACGCATCAGGTTGTGCGGCTCTTTGTGGCAGCCCGCTTTTGCGGCATCGTTTGGGGCTGAACATGGGCTGCCCATGACGAACAGCACTTCAAGCTCGTTGGATATGGCGAAGGCATCATAACGGTTAATACTCAAACACACCTAGTGATTCTCAGGGCGCCAGGAGAGTGGATGCAGGTACAGTGTTCAATCCCTGATTTGTTATGCAGGGAGTAGACTCTGGGAAGATGTTCACACACAATCATACCAACTTAGCTGCCAAGACGACAACTTGAAGCTGTGGCAAGTCACTTGGTGCTCCCGATACCTTGGACGGATATGTTTGTGCGGAGTGTATTATTCCGACATTCTGGACTGTCAGGAGGTCGAGCAGGAGAGACGTACCTCAGACACTGGGCATGCGCAGTGCATATCATACTCCACTGGGCGCCAATCGCACACAAGATAGCCAAGTCCGCCTATCGCAGAACACAGGCAAAGAATCATGGGCTGCCAGAAGAGGTGCATCCTCCCCGATACGTATAAGGATACGGTGGGGCGGTCTATGTTTTAGTGTTCCAGTTTCATATGTCCACTCGATATCTGAAGATAACGACTTGAATGGCCGGCTTCCTCGCAAATGAACAAACGTTCAAGCTGGGCAGCCTTTGGATGCCCTAGTCCTGGGAAGCACCGCAGAGGCTGTATGAGATGCACACACAGATCCTATCCCCCTCGCAAACCATTGGACAGCACTCGATCAGTTTAGACTGAAGAAACTTCGCTGGGGATGCAGCACAGCAATTCCCATCGAAAATGCGCGATCTGGCACAAGGACGGTAGTAGCATTGAACCACGAAGGTTGGTAGTGGTAGAGCGAGGGTTCACGCAGTAACAACGGTACCAGTCTGCTGAAAGACGCAAATGCCATCAGAAATGAAGTGATGCACCATTAAGCCGCACTCGCATGATGGCCGGTACGCATTCCCTCAGTCGCAAAAGTCGAGACATGCTGCGCGTCAGACACCAGCTCGCAAAGCATGAGCTTGACGTAAATTTTCGACTTACGATGGCTTATGATCCAGGGGATGTGTCGAGAGGCAGACATACTAAGTGCAGACATAGAAAAGCGAGGCAACCCGGTGCGTCATAGGATCACCAAAGAAGACAGGGTGTGGGTAAACTTCACAATCATACGCTCAGTATGGCCGCCGTCACACCTGCGGATCATAAAGTGGACAATGAGTATGGTTAGCGTCGCAGGGACACGGGGTCGTCTGATGATATGATCAGAGATAAGGAGTGGTGTCCGACTCGTCCGAGGTAGTGAGCTGCCAATCCTGGATGTGTTCTGACAAGGTCAGCGCCATCGTAAGCGCTGTTTTCGGTGTGGAATATGTAGCCGTCGGGTAGGTTTCGAAGCGCCTTGGAGGGCGGCACTTCAGCCGTACTTTCCGTTCGAAATCACATTCCCTGTGGCCAGCACGCCTGATGAGGTCTGATGGCCTATTGAGAAGCCGGTCAGTCGACTTTGTCACGGTTTCGAGTGCGACGTTTTTACTTAATGAGTACGTAGAATAACGTGAGCGACGTTTATGCGGCGGGGGTGGAGGGCTCCAAGTTTTCGGTTCTCAACTGCATTTAGCTGTGAGATATTGCCACGATGCATCCACTGAAGCCGGGGAAACGGAATGTTGCATGCGAGGAGTCCATCATCGATCGTCCATACATATGAAGGTCGAGGCGCAGTGTTGAACCGGGTTTATCGAGCCGTGGGTCCAATTCATGATGATCGCGACGAAGAGGAGAGGAAACAGAAGAACACGTACATGAAAGGGCTGTTGTTTGCCAGCCAATAAGAGTGCAAATGAGCATGGAGGAGTGCCGTTCCGTGCTGGCTTCGAGTTCATATCGGTAGCCAATGGGGACATCCCCGTCTGGTGCATGAGTTTCTTGAGCTGGGTGACGGGTAACATGCGTCCACTACTATAAAGCGCTGGTCTGCGCAGTTGGCTTGCCTACAGCTTGTCTCGCATTTTCTTACCTCCTTGCAAGCCGCCTTGGCTTCACATATTTTGTGCGAGCTTGGCTAGTTCAGGTCCATATTTCATCTCCACCCATTTGCTGACTAATATCGCCCGTTGCCGACCCTGCCGGCACCCTCCTTACATTGCGGGCTGTGCCTGGCTTGGAATTATTACAACGGCTATAACTCTTTCTTTCATTCTTTCTTGACCACCAACGGGTCCTTACTTTCTGTCCTTTTTGACCCCACGATTTGACACGACTTGCATTGGCGCACTAGCTGCCACCCTTACGACTGGTCAGATATCTGTAGGTTACCGGGCTCGGACTTGTCGGCTAGCCAAACTAGCTCACCGACGTCATGCTATTCCATCCTGTGAGCCTTTGTTCGTATCCGTGCTCCAAGTA